TTCAGTGCAACCAGCATTCAGTGTAATGAAATGCCAATTTCTGGGTGAGCCCCAGTGGTTTCTTGAAGCTACTCTCACTGATAGTGTACCATTTACTACATTTGCATCACCCATGGAGTTCTATAGGCCTATCAGGGACCAGAACCAAAACCTGGCCCCACCTTCACAGAGGTACAGGGAGCGGTGACATTTATGTACTTATTTACACCACCACCGGGAAAGGCATCCAGAAAGCAAGCAAAACAAAACAAACCACTGCTAGCTTCAAACGAGACCGCAGCCTCGAGGACTCGCCCAACAATATAAACAAATGATCGAAATCTCTTGAAACTAGTGCCAACTCGTTCACCCCACCTCCCCTAACTCATTTGTAGTGGGTAAAAAGCAGCTCCAGGTCAGCTGGCATCTCCACCCTCGGTTCAATGGTGGATGGAACCAAACCCCCGACAACCTGGAAGGAAGGCGAGTGCCAGGTAGCCACCGGTGCTTGCCCAGAAACTGGGGTTTCATTACACTGGGCTGCGGGGAGGGAAACCCTTTGTGGCTCCCTGAAACTAACTATCCACAGAGAAGGAAAAGAATCCGGCACTTACCAGGAAGGAGGGAGCACTGCAGGAATTGAGACAAAGACAAGATTCCTGGGCACATTGATAAGATACTAGGCTGCCAGAGCCCTGTTTTACCTCCAAAACCCTCATGGCCAAATATCAGCTTAGGACATATTCACACAGTGTACAAGAAGGCTCACAAGGGCAAAAAACACTACTTAGCTGAATGAGCCGAAGCCAGAACAGAAACAGATGACAAAGCACACACTATACACAAGGATAAAACTGAGGGTCGAGATGCCGGCTGACCGGAAGCTCCTGCTCCTTTCCCCCAAACAAGTGGTGAATGAGGGGTGAAGAAGCTGGCACTAGTTTCAAGAGATTTTAATCATTTTACATTGTTAGAAGAGTTCTTTTGGAAGTTCTCAAAGCTGCGGTTTCATTTGAAATTAGCAGTAGTTTGTTTTGTCTCTGGCTTTCTGGGTGCCTTTCCCAGTGGTGGCATAAATAACTAAATAAATGTCACTGCTCCCTCAGCTTCTGAGAGGACCAGGTGCTGATGTTCTCCCTCCAAGGCTGGTACAACCTAGTACAGGTAGATGGTAAACTATCAGCGATAATAGCTTCAGGGATCCTCAGGAGGTTCCTCCAGGAAAAAATTTCCTTTTCACTTAAAATACTTTACGAGTTAATGGTTATAGTTAATTGCTGCTGGTTTTTAAGCATTGATTTTCCATATATGTAGATGAAACAATACATCTAAGGACAGCTTTTGTGTCATATAAAATACAACCCTTATTCCATTAGTCTTTGGTAGTCTCTGATTGCTGGCTGAACATTTTGAGATCATAACCAAATAAAATACCATTATGAACCACTGTCTACTGTTACGGTAAAATCTCTAGGAAGAGATTTGGCCTGCTCCATCACCTATTCTACCCATTACCACATCTAATATATTCAAGTACTGCAGCAACAACAACAACAACAACAACAACTACTACTTCCAGACGTCTAAACAATATACCAGTCATCTCCCTTCACCACTGCCCGTCACCCCACCTCGCACCTGGGTCACTGGGAGCTCACACCATCCAAAAAAAGGAGTTTAACATCCGGTTAATAATTAAAGAAGTCACCAGTGCCATCTGCCTGGCCCTCATTGTGTATATATAGGGCTGCCTAACCCACTACGAGTTATATTACTTCTGCGTGCCCAACTAAATAGTACGTTAACACATCTCGGTGTGGTAACGGATTTAGTCAGCCTGGCTCACAGTATTCCTGCACCATATTTTATTTGCACATTAACGTAACGTAAATTTGATTGCTCATCTTGTTTGTTTTGCACACTTTGTATTAGAGCCAAGCCTGGATATTTTGTTTTGTAATTTGTTTAATTTAATTTTTCTATCAAAGTAAAGTATTTTAAAATGTTTTTCCCTCTGCTTTATCCTACAGTTTGCCTCACTGTGAAAACAACTTGCAGTTTACCCTTTTTTTTTTTTTTTTTTTTTACTATTTTATGTGATTGGCATTCCACCTGCTTAGCTACTGCATGAACACCTATTTTTCCCGTCACACTACCTACCACTGCTTCTTGTATGAAAGATCCTTCTCACATCTAGCTTATACACAAAAAATTACAATCAAAATATCCAAGTCCATGAAGAATTGGTTAGCATACCATGAAATTTAAAAACATTTCTGACACTAGTGTCAAGTTATGTGCATTTTACAAGAACCACCATTTGGGTCTAATTATCCCTCCACTCTTCACTAAAACACCAATTAAATTGCAGAAATTTCTTATTTCCTAACACATGTACATGCTTAAAAATATACAAGTATAGTATGATTATCTCTAAGAAATATCACAACACAAAACACCCTTTTTAGCAATTCTCGTACAAAATATTACACAATATATTTTCATTCCTATATACAACACCTCTATATGAATTGACAATATTGAGTGACTTTTCACTATGACTTCATATATTTAAGGCTGGTTATCTGGCCACAATGGCTTGAATGAGGATAACTAGTAGATATAAGGTTGATTTTCTCGTAATGACAATTACCTGAGCGAATATGAACCCTACACACTCTAAAATAAAACCAAATTAATTATCACAGCCACTAATGTATGATTATTCCAACACACAAGAAATTATACCAACAAGTTCAGGAAATTATAGACAGGTTTAATTTATAAACCTGTCTGTATAATTTATTGATCCCACGGGTTCAATAAATTATACCGACGACTTCAATAAACTATACAACTGGTTCAATAAAATTATATTAACTGGTTCCATAAATTATACTGAGGTTCGGTAAATTACACCAACGCGTTGAGTAAATTATACCGATGGATTCAATAAATTATACCGAGATACAATAAATTATACAGAGGTTCAATAAATTACACCAACAAGTTCAATAAATTATATCGACAGGTTCAATAAATTTACGTAATGTTCATTAGAAACAAATTATCAATTCATCTAAAGCATCCCATAAAATATAAAGCAATGCAGGTATGCTGTTTATCTAATATATATAAGTAGATTTCAATTAAAACAAAATGATTCACTACACACACAGATTACTATAAACAAGTCACATCATAAAAGCACTATTGAATGAGCTGAAGACAGTAAATTACTCATATTTGTGTAAACTGAACCTGCTATAAGAACATGGAATATTCTACAACTGGTGAATATTATGATGAAAATATTACCAACCACATCATCAAATTTGCAGATGACACAGATTTATGGTAAAGTAGGAAGTGAAAAATTGAGGCATTGCAATGCTACCTATATGAGCTCCACAACTGGTCACAAGACTAACAAATGTTTTTTAATATTGTAAAATGCAAGAGCATGCATTTAGGGTACAGCAATGCACATGACAACTATTATGTGAACAACACTTCCATGCACCAGATTGATGATGAAAAGAACCCAGAAAATGTAATGATGTGTTATAAATAAAGAACTGGCTGAAAGATCACACTTCACTTGTCTGGAAGTGCAGTGAACAATGTAGTACAAAACTAACAATCACGCTGAATAAACCTAAAGTTGTAGCAGAATGGGTCACAAACCCATATATCTTATCATAATAATAACACTTCAATATGTACTACAGTAGTACAATTTGGTATTACAAGTAACAAAACCCAGGTACATAGTACTATTTAGACCTGCAACTATAAAAAATGTAAATATATAGACAAAACAAAGTTATAAATCTTTAGGAACTCCAAGAAATATGTGCACCAAAACCATGCAACAGCTCACCCTGTTCATGCTACAAAGTCATGTCACAGCTCACTTGTCTGGTTTATCTTATTTCAGATACAGTATCTGAAATAAGTTATTAACTAATTCATAATTAAGTTCCACAACCAAAACCATATTTTGTGTGCTATAATCCTAAGACTTTAAAGACTAACACTTTAAAGTTCCAACCCATTAGCGTGTACCAAACCATAAATGTTCCATGCATTTCAGGAGCCCATTCAGCCTTGCTCAAGATGCTGAGTGGATACATTGAAGATATATTGCTCATTTTATACATTTTCAGTTAATTTTGGGGCTATAACTATAAATTTGGTTTTAAACATTTTTGCAAATGAATTTGGCAGCATATACAATACAATACAATTTTATTTAGGTAAGGTACATACATACAATAAATTTTTACAAGGATTGGTTGACTTATAGGTAGAGCTAGTACATACAATGCCTAAAGCCACTATTACGCAAAGCGTTTCGGGCATCAGTAGAGTAGATGCAAAACAACACATCTGATAACAGATTATGCATAATGGTGTTGAATATATGAATGTTTATAAACATTAAAAAATTCCTAATTTTTCAACATTCCTCTTATATTTTAATATAAATAACAATATGGAAATGTGCACATTTAATCAGTCTATATCACTGTAAGAAGAAAATAAACATAACTTTCATACCTTAACAGCAGTTAATTTGCAAAGCATTGTGAAAATACTCAAAAGCTGCACAACTATCGTCTTGAGTGATAGGTAGTTGAATGAGGTGATCTCCCGAGGGTCCCCCTGATACTTTGGTTCATATTCTGATAAGCTATGCCCACAAAGCTAAAAATAATATATTATAATAATAATAATAATAATAATAATAATAATAATAATAATAATAATAATAATGTGATTTTTCAAGAAACTTGAGATGTACTGTATGTATTGTATAACACATCATCAGTGTGTTTACTGTCAGAGTGCAGATGATATCTTTTAGCATTACCAGAATGCTAAAGTGTTAAGACACATGGTACATGTTATCTTGAGGTTATCTTGAGATGATTTCGGGGCTTTTAGTGTCCCCGCGGCCCAGTCCTCGACCAGGCCTCCACCCCCAGGAAGCAGCCCGTGACAGCTGACTAACACCCAGGTACCTATTTTACTGCTAGGTAACAGGGACATAGGGTGAAAGAAACTATGCCCATTGTTTCTCGCCGGCGCCTGGGATCAAACCCGGGACCACAGGATCACAAGTCCAGCGTGCTGTCCGCTTGGTCGACTGGCTCCCTAAATGTCACTTAAAACAGTCAAGAGAATTTTTGAAATGGATGACTTATATAGTATCTAAAATATCCATTAACTTGTAAATAACAATATATTACAATATCTTAGATATATCTACCTTTCAAACTCTTACATTAAAATATAATATAGTTACAGTAATTCAGTAAAACATACAACTCTTCCCATTACTAGAAGAACTCATCTATGGGTTTAGCATGTTCTGAAGTCCAATCTCGTTCAAATAATGCCTGAAGTTGCTGGCGGACAGACAAAGTTTGCACATCACTGTCTGAATTTGATAAAGTTGAATCCGTTTCATTAACAATTAGTCCAATTCCTCCTGTGTTGATAAAGTAGTCTGCACTCCAGTTTGAGGTGCCTAATGAAGAAAAGGAATATCACTTATAAATTATTGTTTATATTAATGTGAGTTATCAATAATGAAGGGAAGAAATGTATACAGGATGTATAAGAACATCATGTTAATAAATAATAATGAATTATAGAAATGTCAGTAAGAGAACTTGAATATTATGGATTAATGTACTGTATATTGTTAACCTTTTTGCTATAAAGTTTGATTATATTCACCAGATTCATAACAATTGCCTTACTGTTTTCATGCAACAAGATCTGTCACAGTTTGAGTTGTCGAGAGACAAACCTGGGTCATTTTATAACAAGCTAAACAAAATTGTATCGTTATAATTTAGGTACAGGCAAGCAATAGTTGAGAGTGGTTCCATTTGCAGCACATCTTCAACACAAAACATCTTCGAAAAAGGTGACACCTCTAGTGTCAACACTTGCATCAGAGGAGCTCCAACATATTTCAACAATCCTAAGTATTGTAGTACAGGTTGATGATAGTCAGTGGTGTCCCAGGTAAAGGTATAGGTCCCATAAAGGTATAGTGCTTTTGAAAAATAGGTGAGATAACAGGAATGTGCTAAGGGAAGTGAAAAAATTGGATGAGAAAAAGTTGCCCTAGTATTTCCAGTGCAGACAAGAACATTCAAGATGGCCGACGGCAAGAGGAAAAACAAAACAGAGCTTGATTTTGGGGGATTCAATGAAGAAAGCATTGATATAAGCAGTCTACACAACAAGTTGGCAAAATTAGATAGTTTAGTGAACTCTCATGTAGAAATAATCAATAAATTGAAAGAAAGTAATGACCATTTGTGTAGCAATGTTTTATGTCTTGAGGGTTTAGTGAAAGACTTGTGCAAGGACAAGAATCAATTGGAAACAAATTGCAAAGCCATGGAAGAGGAAAATAAACTCTTACAAATAGCTTTGGAAGAAGTTTAAGCAAATTTAAATATAAATGACTACAACAGGTTAGGTAAGGAAATTCAACAGGAGAAACAGCTTTTGTCAGCACAGATGGAGGAAGTTACACAGGGAATAGAACAGTGCAAGAATGCACATATTTAATAAGTCAATATTGACTTATTAAATTTGCGAGAACGGGTTGCAGAAGGATATGCAACTCACTAATGCACAAGTGGCCAAGGAGAAGGAAAAATAGAAGAACCAGTAAAGGAAGCCAAACACTGCAGCAACCAGGATAAAACAAACATTAGGCTGGAAGTGAGAAAGGAATTGGCATCTAACCCGAAGTTGGTGCAAAACACAGTTGATCGGAGTAAGTCCCTGATAATTTTTGGTTACAGAGAAAAGGAAATAACATCTAGGTCAGAAAGAGCTGTAGAAGAAGCAAAAGTAGTAGATAAAATTGTTGGCCTTGTGGAAGGTCTTACTACAATAGATAATGTGTACAACTACAGGAGAATAGGCAGGTACCTAAAAGGGAAAGATCGACCTTTGAGGATCACCCTAAACGGTGCCAAACAGATGGAAGAAGTACTAAGGAATGATAGAAAATTACAAATGATGAGGATGGGAAAGTGTGGTCGTTAAAACAAGATCTTTCAAGAGTAGACAGAGAGAAGCTGAAACTAAACCGCGTAGAGGTAAAACGTCTAAATGAGAGCAGAAACGAAGAAGAAATAAATTCTTTTTTCTACGAAGTGATAGGGGTAGGCAGGCCAGTTAAATGGTACAAAAAAGCAAGCCAACAAAATTGCTAGAGAGAGGGGTAGTGAAGAATAAGGAGAGGGGAAACATGTTCCTGAAAATAGTATACACCAATGTAGATGGAGTGAGATCAAAGATACTGGAGTTAAGTGATGTTACAGCTGCAGACACCAGACATTGTTGCACTCACGGAGACTAAACTCGAAGATGTTTTTTTTAAATGAGATCATATTCCCACGGGGCTACTCAATTTGGAGACAGGACAGAAAAATTAGGAAAGGCGGTGGCGTTGCTGTGCTGGTAAAAGAACACCTAAAGGTGACCGAAATAATGATTACCAATCCACGAGAAGTTGATGTAATAGCACTAGAGATCTGCCATGAGGATGAAAAACTAATGATCATAAAAACATATAATTCACCGCCAAGCAACACATGGATAAAGGAGGAGCTAGATAGTAAACGAGAGGGTCTTATAACAATAATGAGAGAGATTATAGCGAGAGCGAATAAAGATAGATCACGACTGTTGACAGTCGAGGACTTTAATTTGAAATCCATAGACTGGGAAGTATATGAAGCTAGAACAGAAGATTTTTGGACTTGTAGATTTGTAGACCTCATCCTGGAAGCATTCTTGTATCAACATGTTAAACAAGCTACGAGGATGAGGGAAGGGAGACGTTCCCGCCATACAAGATTTGATATTTACCAGGAAAGAGGAAGAGATATTTGACATTCAGTACCTTCCTCCCTTGGGTAAAAGTGACCATGTCTTTTTGGTAATAAAGCATGCAATGCGTTATAATCTGGAAGAAAATAAGGTTAAAGCAGTTGAAAAACCCGACTTCAGGAGAGGACATTATGGCGACCTTAGAAATTTTTTTAGTGAGTATAATTGGGCAGACTTGTTGCTAGGCAAGGAAGTAAATGAGATGTATGTCAAGTTTTGTGAAATATATGATATAGGCACAAAAAAATTATACCAAAACAGAGATGCAGAACTAGGAAACAGGATTGGTTCAACAGAAATTGCGAGAGAGTCAGAGACCAAAAGACACAAAAATGGAATCAATATAGGAAGAGGTCAAACCCCCAAACATACCAGCAATACAAAGATGCGAGAAACAACTACATGGCAGTGAAGAGAGAGGCAGAAAGAAATTTTGAAAAAGGGATTGCAGACAAATGTAAAACAGAACCAGGTCTATTTTATAAATTCATAAACAACAAATTGCAGGTAAAGGATAATATTCAGAGGTTGAAAATGGGAAATAGATTCACAGAAAATGAAAAGGAAATAAGTGAAACATTAAACAAAAAGTTCCAAAAGTGTGTTTGTACAAAATGAAATCTTCAGGAACCAGACACAATAAGAATTCCAGAGAACAACATAGAGCACATAGAGGTGTCTAGAGACAAAGTGGAAAGAATGCTCAAGGAGCTAAGTAAGAACAAAGCAGTTGGTCCAGATGGAATTTCACCATGAGTTCTGAGAGCATGTGCATCTGAGCTCAGCATTCCACTTCAACTGATTTTTCAGGCATCTCTGTTTACAGGAGTTGTAGCTGATGTGTGGAAAAAGGCTAACATAGTTCCAATCTACAAAAGTGGCAGCAGGGAAGACCCCCCCCCTTAATTATAGACCAGCATCATTGACAAGTGTCATAGTCAAAATATTGGAAAAAATAATTAAAACTAAATGGGTAGAACACCTGGAGAAAAACGATATATCAGACAGACAGTATGGTTTTCGATCTGGAAGATCCTGAGCTTAATCAGTTTCTATGATCGAGCCACAGAGATTTTACAGGAAAGGGATGGTTGGGTTAACTGCATCTATCTGGACCTAAAAAAGGCTTTCGACAGTTCCACATAAGAGGTTGTTCTGGAAACTGGAACATATTGGAGGGGTGACAGGTAAACTTCAAACATGGATGAAAAATTTCCTGGCCGACAGAAAAATGAGGGCCGTAATCAGAGGCAAGGTATCATTTGGATGAATGTCACGAGTGGAGTACCACAGGATTCAGTTCTTACACCGGTAATGTTCATTGTCTACATAAACTTCTTGAAGGGCATGACAAATGATTGTCATGCCCTTCAAGATGACCTGGACAAAATAAGTATATGGAGCAACACTTGGCAAATGGAATTTAATGTGAATAAATGCCATGTTATGGAATGTGGAATTGGAGAACATAGACCCCACACAACCTATAAATTATGTAAGAAATCTTTAAAGAATTCTGACAAAGAAAGGGATCTAGGGGTGGTTCTAGATAGAAAACTGTCACCTGAGGACCACATTAAGAACATTGTGCAAAGAGGATATGCTACACTTTTTAACTTCAGAATTGCTTTTAAATACATGGATGGAGAAATACTAAAGAAATTGTTCACGACTTTTGTTAGACCAAAGCTGGAATATGCAGCGGTTGTATGGTGCCCATATCTTAAGAAGCACATCAACAAACTGGAAAAGGTGCAATGACATGCCACTAAGTGGCTCCCAGAACTGAAGGACAAGAGCTACGAGGAGAGGTTAGAGGCATTAAATATGCAAAAACTAGAAAAAAGAAGAAAACGAGGCGATATGATCATTACATATAAAATAGTAGCAGGAATAGATAAAATTGATAGGGAAGAATTCCTGAGACCCGGAACATCAAGAACAAGAGGTCACAGATTTAAACTCACGAAACAAAGCTGCCGGAGAAATGTAAGAAAATTCACTTTTGTAAACAGAGTGGTAGACGGTTGGAACAAGTTAGTTGAGAAGGTGGTGGAGGCCAAAACCGTCAGTAATTTCAAAGTGTTATATGACAAAGAATGCTGGGGAGATGGGACACCACGAGTGTAGCTCTCATTCTGTAACTACACTTACGTAATTACAAGGCAGTCATTTCCATGCAGCAGCTGTTTGTTCTCCATGCTTATGAATTAAATTTACCCAATACGTGACAATGATAATGCCGATGATTTTCTAAAAAATACAGCGTTGAATGTAATGAAAAGTCATTTTCTGGGTGAGTCCCGGAGGCTCCCCGGAGCTATCCATGGCTGATATGGATACCCTAACTATTTTGCATCAGTCGATGTGGGTGGAGTTCTAGCCTAGCGGGGACCACGAGCCAGAACCTGGCCCCCTCACAGAGGCACGGGGAGCAATGGCCCATAGAAATGCACATGTGATTTGGAGCATTCTATATCTGCCATCGACCGGGACAGGCACCCAGAAAGGTAAGCGCCACAAAACAAACCCCTATTCTGGTTAACAACGAAAATTGACAAACGAGTGGACAGAACTCCCCAAAAGAAAAACGAGTAAACAAGC